GTCGGGGCGCCGGATTCTGTCCTGGTTGCCCCTCTTCCAGGCCAGCTCTCTGCTGTGGCCAGGGAGTGCAGTGGAGGATGACCCAAGTGCTTGGGCCCTGCACCCCATGGGAGACCAGGATAAGCACCTGACTCCTGCCATCGGATCAGTGCGGTACACCAGCCGCAGCACGCCAGCCGCTGCGGCCATTGGAGGGTGAACCAACGGCAAAGGAAGACCTTTCTCTCTGTCTCTCTCTCTCACTGTCCACTCTGCCTGTCAAAAAAAAAAAAAAAATATCCTGCTCGGGACAATCAGCGCCCACCTTACAGACAGGAGATCTCAGCACAGACAGGTGGAGTGACTTGCCCAAGGTCACATGGCAAGGAGGGGTGCTTTGAACCCAGCAACAGGGTTGTTAACCATGGTTAGACAGAAAGAGAGAGAGGTCTTCCCTCCATTGGTTCACCCCCCAAATGGCCACTACGGCCGGCACTGCGCCGATCCGAAGCCAGGAGCCAGGTGCCTCCTCCTGGTCTCCCATGTGGGTGCAGGGCCTAAGCACCTGGGCCATCCTCCACTGCACTCCTGGACTGGAAGAGGAGCAGCCTGGACTTGAACTGGCACCCATATGGGATGCCGGTGCTGCAGGCAGAGGATTAATCAAGTGAGCCATGGTGCTGGCCCCCAACCATTAAGCTTTACTGTCTCCACATTTGCACAAAGTCTTCCAATTAAAACAAAAAGCTACTTCCCTAGGGGCAGGCCCTCCCCTCCAAAAATGTCCCTCCCCCCACCCTTGGGCCACCCCTTTATGCAGATGAGTGCCCCAGCCAGTTCCTTCCTGTTCCTGGCTGCCACAGCCAAGTCTAGCACCCCATGGCTCCAGGAGACTTGGCCAGGAGGGCCTTGCCCCTGTCACTCCCGAAACCTGGAGGCCCAGCGCAGGGCGCCTCACTCACCAGGCTCCCTGGCAGGCAGGCCACTGTGACTGGGGCCTATTTCCTCATCTGTCCCCTGGGCTAATTTGGAAGAGTACCTGCTTCCTGGGGGCCATAGGGAAGATCCCACAAGCAAATGAATTAGACAGGACCACATGGTAAATGAATATTAAAAAGTATTTGCATGGAGTGATTTATATAAAGTAAAAAAAAAAATCCTATAGTTCAACAAAATTAGATGTGAAGTGCTATTTGGTATGCAGTAGGTAGCTGGATGCTACATAGTTAAATACTGTTACGCTAATAGAATTGTCCTAAATAGCACATATGTGAACCATGTTGTATTATATGATTCATAATTATATAATTCCTCATTTAGGCTAGTGTAATTACACAGTATGATCTATGTTCTATCACATACATTATATCATATATAATTGTATATTATACACTGTGCTCCAACCTTTAGTGGGGAATTGTTCTGTGTCATTCTGCATGATGCCGTAAGATGTTCACAGGGTACACGTTCCTGTCAGACACCATTCTGTGTGTTAAGACCTACCCCTGTCACCTGTGGACGCCTGGCCTGTGACAGTGGTGGCTGTGTGGGACTCCTTGGTGACTGATCACTTCTGTCTGCACACGCCCTGGGGTGAGCACCCGCGCTGCCTCCAGCCCCTGGAACACAGCGTTGCTGTGAAGCTGTGGGTGTCCCCTTGTGGAGCACACCCAGGGCTTGATGCTGGGTGACATCTCCCTGTGCACACGTAATTTGCCAAGCAGTGCTTGGTGGTCCCAGGAATGGCTGGCCGTGCACAAGGGTTCCCAGGTCTCCCGGTGCCCAGCCTCCTCTCCAACTTCTATGGTTT